AGGTTTTGGGAGCACAAAGTGTTTTAAGGTAAAAGACTATTACTCTTCAGGGCATATGGAGATTTACATGTCTCCCTAAAAATGTAGCTGAGCCTGTGGGTTTCAGGGACTTGGAAAGCATAAAAAAGTTTTGGATATATAAGACACATTTTTTCCACTCCTGAAAAAAAAACAACTTTATTTTTATACCCTGCTACCATCTCTCCGAAGGGACTTGGGGCAGCTTACAAGGGGACAAGCCCAAAAATACAGATTAAAACACATACAATAAAATAAAACCAAATAAAATCAACTGCAACATCAAAGAATGTTGGTTGTTGTCTGCCTTCAAGTCATTCCCAACGTATGGTGACTCTATGTCAAACCTATCACATGGTTTTCTGGCAGAATTTTTTCAGAGGAGCTTTGCCATTGCCTTCTTCTGAGGCTAAGAGAGTGTGACTCGCTCAGGGTCACCCAATAGGCTTCCATGGCCAAGTTGATTTGAACAATCGTCTCATATGAGATTTCCGGAAGGAAAGATCTGGAATAAAAAGGCAGAAAGCAGGAAATGGATTAAAGATTGTGTTGCAATCTATTGTACTTTCTATTTCATAAACACAAAGGTGGCCCCATTTTTGAAATTGCTCCAGGAACCCAGCCACTTAAATTGAGCCTTGGCTCTTACCATCAGGAAGTTATTCGTAATATTGTCGTTGTGGAGTTGTTTTCTTGCAATTTGAATCTATTTACTCGGTGCTTTGCAGTAGAAAGCAAGGGGTTAGATATTTATATATTCCAGGATTGTTAATATGTCATCTTTGAATCTTTCCTTCTCTGGACTAAACATATCCAAGTCCCAAAACTTTGCCATCTTGGTCATCATCTTTTGGAGACTTTCCACTTTGTCAGTCTCCTTCCTCAAAAGCAATACCCAAAACATCTTCCTGATTGAAAAACAAAGTTTGGGATTTGTTTGTTTGTTTGACCAACTTTGCACTGCTACAAGATGAGTACTATAAGAAAACTGGAGAACAGAAAGAGATAACTTGGGTTTTTCTTATATCCTTGCCCATTTTGCCAATGGAATTAGATATGCAAATGGGTGGAAAATAAGGGACTTTTTTATTCCCCAGGTGAAATTTGATACAAAGATCAGTGTACAAGAACTGGACATAGGCAGACACATTATAGTATTAGTCATTTCCCCATTTCTCTTGTATACATGGGACTGGTTCACTCAGACAAATCCATCAGCTCAAGTCTGCTTTACATTGCAGTGGTCTTCAGTCAGTTTCTATGTGTATATAGAATCATAGAATCATAGAGTTGGAAGAGACCTCATGGGCCATCGTCCAACCCCCTGCCAAGAAGCAGGAATATTGCATTCAAAGCACCCCTGACAGATGGCCATCCAGCCTCTGTTTAAAAACCTCCAAAGAAGGAGCCTCCACCACACTCCGGGGCAGAGAATTCCACTGCTAAATGGCTCTCACAGTCAGGAAGTTCTTCCTCATGTTCAGATGGAATCTCCTTTCTTGTAGTTTGAACCCATTTTTCCACATCCTGGTCTCCAGGGAAGCAGAAAACAAGCTTGCTCCCTCCTCCCTGTGACTTCCTCTCACATATTTATACATGGCTATCATATCTCCTCTCAGCTTTCTCTTCTTCAGGCTAAACATGCCCAGCTCCTTAAGCTGTTCCTCATAGGGCTTGTTCTCCAGACCCATGATCATTTTAGTCACCCTCCTATGGACACATTCCAGCTTGTCAACATCTCTCTTCAATTGTGGTGCCCAGAATTGGACACAATATTCCAGGTGTGGTCTAACCAAGGTGGAACAGAGGAGTAGCATGACTTCCCTAGATCAAGGCACTATGCTCCTATTGATGCAGGCCAGAAGTAAGTTCTCCAGAAGTAAGTCCCACCTTGTTAAGTTGAGTGTATTTCTCCAAGGTCAGGAGCGGTTTGAATCTAAGAATTGATGAAAGTATCATTGGGCAATTCTTAAAACATTATAATAACTGTCAGAATTATATATATTAAGCCATATCTCTGAGGCTCTGAGAAGTCCCACCTGTTCTTTCTATCCCTCCCTCCCTCCCTCCCTTCCATCATCATTAAGATCTGTGATACAAAATAATACTCTTCATACTGAGAAATGCTGCAACTCATATCTGGGATGGATCTACACTGCAGCATCAATGGAATTTGACACTACTTGCACTACGAAGGCTCAGTGCTATGGAATCTTGGAAGTTGTTTTTACAAGGACTTGCACCATCTCACCAAAACTTCTATGATTCCATAAATGTTGAACCAGGGCAAACTGTATTAAATCTACAGTGTAGATGCAGCTTTGGTTTGCTTTTGATAAGAGCTCAAATTTCCCTCATTAATGTGTCAGGAAAAACTGAGAATGGAGGAACAACGACGATGGCGATACTGTGAAACTGAGAGATAATCTGTCATTTTTTTGGAATTAATAAGGAGCTTTAAATGATTATATAAGTAAATAACCTGAGCCAATATCCAGATGCTATGTCTCTTCAGATTTTGATGATCACTACTTGTGGCATTCATGACTTCAGACTTTTGCCTTTGCACCAACCCCCAGAGTCGAACACGACTGGACTTAAAGTCAAGGGGGAAACCTAAACTTTTGCCTTTGTTGTTGTTTCATGCCTTCAAGTTGCATCCAAACCATGACCACCCTGAAGTGACCCTATCACAGGGTTTCCTTGGCCAGATTTATTTGGAGATGGTTGGGCCGAGAGATTGTGACTTGCCTCTAAGTGATCCAGTAGGTTTCGAAATCTGGTCTCAAATTTTGGGTCCAGTGCTCAAAGCACTGCACCATATTATGTGGCTTTCGGTGTTAAATTAACTCAATTTGACGTGACTTGAACTGCCTTGCTTCATTGCCATGGAGTCCTGGGAGTGGTAGTTCAGTGAGACAAAAGCAGTTTTTAACAGAGAGCTAAAGATCTTGCAAAACTATAACGCTGTGTAACAACATTTGAAAAAAAAAGTCTGTTCTTGGCTTGAAAGTGTTTTTTCCTGTTTAATTGTGCAGTACTTACTGTAGAAACTTTATTTACATAGTATCATCCCATGATTCCCTATCATTGACCCAGGGTGTGTCTACAGTGTAGATCAGGCCTGGGTAAACTTGGACTCTCCTGGTGTTTTGAACTCCAACTCCCACAATTTCTAACAGCCTCAGGCCTGAAGCTGTTAAGAACTGTGGGAGTTGGAGTCTAAAACACCCGGAGGGCCCAAGTTTGCCCATGTCTGGTGTAGATGCACTTTTCATCCAGACTGCTCCCTTCTGCCTATTAGAATGCATTTCTCCTGTAGCAGAATAAATGTGGTTTGCAGGTTCAAGGCTATGAAATGATGGTTGTTCTAGTTCAGCGTTTCTCAACCTGGGGGTCAAGATCCTGGGGGGGGGGTCATGGGGGTGTCAGAGAGGTGTCCAAAGCTCATAAAAACAACAGTACTTTCTGTTGGACATGGGAAGTTTGGCCCAATTGTGTGGGAAGTTTGGCTCAATTCCATCGTTGGTGGGGTTCAGAATATTCTTTGATTGTAGGTGAAATATAAATCCCAGAAACTACAACTCTCAAATGTCAAGGTCTATTTTCCCCAAACTCCACCAGTGTTCACATTTGGGCATTGAGCATTCATGCCAAGTTTGGTCCAAATCCAACATTGTTTGAGTCCACAGTGCTCTTTGAATGTAGGTGCACTGCAACTCCAAAATTCAAGGTCAATGTCCACCAAACCCTTCCAGTATTTTCTGTTGGTCATGGGAGTGCTGTGTGCCAAGTTTGGTTCAATTCCCTCCTTGGTGGAGTTCAGAATGCTCTTTGATTGTAGGTGAACTATAAATCCCAGCAATTACAACTCCCAAATGACAAAATCAACCCCTCCCCCTCCCAACCCACCAGTGTTCAAATTCGGGCGTATTGGGTATTTCTGCCAAATTTGGTCCAGTGAATGAAAATACATCCTGCATATCAGATATTTACATTATGATTCATGGCAGTAGCAAAATGTATTTATTTACAGCATTTATAAACCATTTTTCTCACCCCGAGGGGGACTCAAAGCGGTTTACACATAGATAATGGCAAAAATTAAATGCCTTATAACTACAACACTTTAAACATAAATCATATTAAAAACAGTACATAATCAAATATCAAAACAGTTATTAAAACCACAAAACAATCTCATCAGTCAAGTCACCGTTCCAGTCCTTGTCCCACTAAAAGCTGCATACATCTATTATCCGAAGGCCTGGTCCCAGAACCATGATTTTAATTTTTTTCTAAAGGTCAGGAGCGAGGGAGCAGATCTTACCTCCTTTGGGAGTGTGTTCCATAGGTGGGGGGCCACAGCTGAGAAGGCCCCTCCGGCTTCCTCGTCCCCCACCAGCCACATTTGTGCTGTTGACGGGAACGAGAGCAGGGGCTCCCCAGATGATCTGAAGTTGTGAGATGGGACCTAGGGGCAGATGCGTTCGGACAAGTAAGCTGGGCCCAAACCGTATAGAGCTTTATAGGTCAAAACCAGCACTTTGAATTGGGCTCAGAGATGGACCGGCAGCCAGTGGAGCTGGCATAACAGGGGGGTGGGATGCTCCCTGTATGCCGCCCCAGTTAGTAATGACAGTTATGAATTAGCAACGAAAATAATGTTATGGTTGGGGCTCACCGCAACATGAGGAACTGTATTAAGGGGTCGCGGCATTAGGAAGGTTGAGAAACACTGCTCTAGTTTGAAAAGCTCTTTAGCTTTCTCTTCCAAAGAGCTAAAGAGTCCATCGCCTTGAGCCCAGGGCAGAGTGAAAACGGTATCAAGCGGCTTTCCTTCTCAATGTGGATGCACTTTTGGACCCACAGGCCTGCGAGGTTGGTAGCCGAGCAGTAGGGGGTGCATCGGCTTCTTCTTCTTCTTCTTCTCCCTCCTCCTTTCCTTTCCCTTTCGGTGCCCTTCGGGCCAATCGGCACAACCCAAAGGAGGAGCGGAGGGAGGCTGGAAAGATTTCCTTTGGCTTCTCTTTGCCGCCAGAAGAAGAAGAAGACTTGGATGCCGGGGATGGCAGTGGAGGGAAGGAGAGGAGGAGGAGGAGGAGGAGGAAGAGGGGTCTTTTTGGAGGCCCTGGCCGGGCTCCTCTTTCCCCTTTGGTCTGGCTTCCTCGTCCCCTCCGTGGGCTCTCAGCAGGCTCCTTCTCCGGACTTTGGACCGGGCAGCAGCCTCCAGCCGCCTTACTTCAATTTAGCCGAGACAGCGGGCATTTGGGCCACAGCCACCTGCGGGCAGGACGAGGGAGGGAAGCCCCGCTCGGAGCTCTATTGCAAGCTGGTGGGGGGACCTGCTGCTTTCCCCGCCGGGAAGACCATCCAGGTGAGCCAAACCCCACCATCCCCCCCATAATCTCCCCTCTCCGGGGTGCATTTCGCTTGCAGAATGAATGCAACTTGGCACCGCTGGAACTGCCGTGGCTCAGGGCTAGGGAAGCGCAGGAGCCTGGCATAGCATCTCTGCCAAAGAGTGCCGGTGCTTCACCCAAACGCATCTCTCCTGCTTCCAGAGCATTGAGTTCAACTGGTGTCAGCCTGCACTCATTCCACAGTGACTGACTTCTGGTTGTGCTGTAGCTTTCCCTCTCCCAGGTCCCACAGGAGCCCCCAATGGCACAGTGGGTTAAACTGCTGAGCTGCTGAAATTCCTGACTGAAAGGTTGGCAGTTCGAATCCGAGGAGTAGGGTGAGCCCCAGCTTCTGCCAACCTAGCAGTTCGTAAACATTCAAATGTGGGTAGATCAATAGGTACCCCTTCCTTAGTAGCCTAGAAGCAATATTTATTTCTATAGTTTCAGATAACTAACAATAAGTAACAATAGTCCCCATTTGCGCAGTGGGTTAAACCCCTGAGCTGTTGAATTTGCTGACCAAAAGGTCGCAGGTTCAAATCCAGGGAGCGGCATGAGTTCACGCTGTTAGCTCCAGCTTCTGCCAACCTAGCAGTTTGTAAACATGCTAATGTGAGTAGATCAATATGTATCCCTTCCTTAGTAGCCTATAAGCAATATTGATTTCTATAGAGTTTCAGATAAATATCAATAAGTCACAATAGCCCCCAGTTGCGCAGTGGGTTAAACCGCTGAGCTGCTGAACTTGCTGACCGAAAGGTTGGCGGTTCCAAATCCGGGGAGCAGGGTGAGTTCCTGCTGCTAGGCTCAGCTTCTGCCACCCTAGCAGTTCAAAAACATGCAAATGTCGCTGAGTTGCTGAACTTGCTGACCGAAAGGTTGTCGGTTTGAATCCGGGGAGTGGGGTGTGTTCCCACTGTTAGCTCCAGCTCCTGACAAGCTAGCAGTTCGAAATTTCAAATGTGAGTAGATCAATAAGTTTCCCTTCCTTAGTAGCCTAGAAGAAATATTTCTTTCTGTAGAGTTTCAGATAAGTAACAATAAGTAACAATAGCCCATGGTGAAGTGAGTTAAACTTCTGAGCTGCTGAACTTGCTAACCAAATGGTTGGCAGTTTGAATCCAAGGAGCAGGGTTAGCCCCAGCTTCTGCCAACCTAGCAGTTCGTAAACATTCAAATGTGAGTAGATCAATAGGTATCCCTTCCTTAGTAGCCTAGAAGCAATATTTCTTTCTGTAGAGTTTCAGATAAGTAACAATAAGTAACAATAGCCCGTGGTGAAGTGAGTTAAACTGCTGAGCTGCTGAACTTGCTAACCAAAAGGTTGGCAGTTTGAATCCAAGGAGCGGGGTTAGCCCCAGCTTCTGCCAGCCTAGCAGTTCGTAAACATTCAAATGTGAGTAGATCAATTGGTACCCCTTCCTTAGTAGCCTAGAAGCAATATTTATTTCTATAGCGATTCAGATAAATAACAATAAGTAACAATAGCTCCCGGTGGTACAGCAGGTTAAACCACTGAGGTGCTGAACTTGCTGACCAAAAGGTTGCAGGTTTGAATCTGGGGAGCGGAGTGAGCTTCCGCTGTTAGCCCCAGCTTCTGCCAACCTAGCAGTTCAAAACCATGCAAATGTGAGTAGATCGATAAATCTCTGGTGGGAAGATAACGGCACTCCATGCAGTCATGCTGGCCAAAGGACCTTGGAGGCATCTACGGATAATGCCGGCTCTTCGGTTTAGAAATGGAGATGAGCACCACCCCCAGAGTCGGACACAACTAGACTTAATGTCAGGGGAAAACATTTACCTTTAATTCACATGATCTGCTTTGAAATAATTATATGAGTCTATAGTGCCATATAATCCTGTTCAAAGCAGATAATCTGGATTTTATATGGTAGTATAGAAGGGGCCACAGTCTTCATGGGTCCAATAAGAAAAAAAATGTGAACGTCACTATAACGTTGTTATTCTCCAAGGTGTCATAGCTATGACTACACTACATAATACAATTTTTGTTCCTGGGTTATAAATGTCCTTTTTAAATTGATTCTATTATAAAAACACAGGAACAGTTTATTAAACTGCAAAACTTTGTTTATTGAGGGACATCCTGCAGCATAATTTGATATAGTTTTTCAGTGAATATCTCATCAGGTCTCAATTAACACAACATAGTTTGTGGCAGTCAGAAAAATGAAGTCTCTGGAGTGTAACAACTACTGTCAAAGTAAGTACCAAACAATTGGACAGGAAATAACACTTTCAAGCCAGGAACAGAAAAAGTTTCACATTTTGTTACATGGTGTTATTTATGTGAGGTGCTCTGGTGTTTGCATGTCTGCACTTGGAAGCTCAACAAAGTCAATCCTTGTAAGGACATGGATGGAAAGAGTGCTTGTAGGCTAGATTTCAGAGAAAGGAAGGAAGGAAGGATCAAATTACCTCTGAGTGTTCCTTACCTGAGAAAATCCCATGAAATGCATGGGGTTGCCTTAAGTCAACAGGTGACTTGAAGGCACACATAACATCACATTCTCCTCAACTTTAGGTTAGATCAGGCATGGGCCAACTTGGGCCCTCCAGGCATTTTGGATTTCAACTCCCACCATTCCTAACAGCCTCAAACTCTTTCCTTTTCCCTTTTCTCTTTTCAGCTTAAGTGGCAGAGGGGGTAAAGGAAGGGGCCTGAGGCTGTTAGGAATAGTGGAAGTTGTAGTCCAAAACACCTGGAGGGCCCAAGTTTTCCCAGGCCTGGGTTAGATCCTCTAGCCATCTTCTTACTGTTTCCAGTGCTTTTACCCATATTCAGAGTAGGCATTCTAAAACATGACAATGTTGGCTGAATCTACACTGTAGAGTTAATGGCTTTTGACACCATTTTAACTGCCATGCCTTGATGCTATGGAATCCTGGATATGTAGTTTGGTGAGGCACCATCACTATTTGGTAGAGAAAGCTTATAAAACTAGAACTCCCATGATTCCATAACATCTAGCCATGGTAATTAAAGTGGAGTCAAATTGCCTTAATTTATATGGTGTTCCGGTAGCATTATTAAACTTGGGTCTAAACAGCACTGGGTCCTAAATCCAGCAGATTCCTTGATACAGAAAGCTGCACTAGTTAAATTCTGGTTTGTCCTGAATATATTAAAAGCAAAGACCCATGTTTCAACAACAACAACAAATTTGGCACTCTGGGTTCAGTCTTGCAGGTGGAATTGTCCTGGGCATTTGACTTGGATTCCAAGCAAAGAGGATGTAGCCATGGTGTCTGACTGATAAACTGAAGGGTATTCACTCTGGATTAATTTTTTTGTATCCTAACTGTCTTGCTCTGATCACAATCTAGTTTACTAAATCTTAACATTTTGGGGGGTCACAGATTCCTTTTCAAAATTGACCCCCTCCTCAGAAAAATACAAATAAACAGAAGCAGACAAAAAAAGGTGCATACTTTATTTTAGCACTGAAAATTGGTTTCCTTCAGACAGTTTATTCTAGTAAATAGTGATTTCTTTGATTCTTAACTCCTTTTCTGGTTAGGCATCATACAGGTTATAGCTAAGACATGTGAAGGGCACCAAATTGGGGGAGTTGTTTTGGGAAAGCAGTACTGCAGAATGATCTAATATACATGGTCCAATGGATGGCAGCAATACTGCTCACCGGAGCGGCATACAGGAAGCATGCAACCCCTCTGTTACATCAGCTCTACTGGCTGCCCGGTCTGCTACCGAGCACAATTCAAAGTGCTGGCTTTAGCCTATAAAGCCCTAAACAGTTCTGGCCCAATTTACCTGTCCAAACGCATTCCCCTCTATGATCCACCTCAAAGGTTAAGATTGTCTGGGGAGGCCCTGCTTTTTATCCTGCCTCCTTCGCAGGTGTAGTTGGTGGGGAGAAGAGACAGGGCCTTCTCAGTGGTGGCTTCTAATCTATGGAATTCCCTCCCCAGCTAAATTAGATCAGCTCCCTCCCTCCTGTCCTTTAGGAAAAAACCAAAACCAATCCTTTGGTCAGTAATTTTTCAATCAGTGCAAGAAGGGAATACAAAATAGTGTAATGATGAATAGAATGGCTCTGGATTATGATTTTGGACTACGTGGTTTTAACAATCACTTTTCATGTTTAATGTTTTTAACTTTTTGGATTTTAATGTATTAGTTTATTTTATTTGTATGTATTTGTGCAGTATTGAATTGTTGCCTATTGTAAGGCCGCTCTGAGTCCCCTTTAGGGTGAGAAGGGTGGGGTATAAATGTGGTAAACAAATAAATAATAAATGGTGTCAACCCAAAGAAAAGTGTTTCAACACACAATGGGATTTTCCAAGTGCAGATGTTTTTGTTAACCACCACAATCTGTCACTTAACTTAATTGGTTTCTTTCATTCTTGTTCAATGTTTCTGGACTAGAATGAATTAAATCATATAATTGATTTGGTATTTCAGGGAAAGGAAGTGCTGAATCTGGCAGCCCATTCATTTTTATATCTGTATGTAACATTCAACTATGGCTACCGCTAAAGGAATATTAAAAAGAAAACACTTTTAAGGGCTGGGTTGAAGAAAATACACTCCCCTGAGGTGTTTTGGCAGTAACTTGTAGGATCTTGCCTGTCTAGAGACAGGGAAGAGTAAATCTGAACCAAAAAAGATCCATTCTACAGTGCACCACTAGTTCTTCCTATATCTGATAATAGTCTGTGTGAGTGTGCTGAAGATGGGTTGCTGAGCCAACCTGTTCATCATGTCGTGTCATGTCATGTTGCCATCCATTTTTAACTCATTCTGAATGTTAATACTAATTTTAGATTAGTATATGTTTACATATGCAGCCTTGGTTTACCTTTTGCTTCTGAGTACATCATCAACAACAAAAAATCACTGAAGAATGTACAGACAGGTAAAAAATAGATTTGCACTATTCAACTTCATGGACCAGGAACTGGATGGTCTCTGGACTGAAGC